ACAAATCACTTCCTTTACTAACGGTAACATTGATCTGCCCATGATCTTAACTGCCAGGGTTCTCAATATGCATTTCTGATGACTGGCCAAGAGGGGTTTATACTTCCTCAAACCAGCTCAATGAAAAAACTCTCAAATACCCAGATTAGCCCAGGTGTCTTGGATTACAGAAGCCAGAAGTAAGCTCACCTGAGGATTGACTTGGCCACCGCTGCTCAGCGTGGCCCTCCAGGACTCGGTGTGCAAAGGACACTGAGCTCCTGGGACACTGATAGCCTGAGAAACCTCTGCCCCTGTGCACTGATATGACCACAGAGAGCCTCTGTCACAGACTGAAGTGCACCCCCAAAACTCAGATGATGAAACCCTAACTCCCCTAGGTGGCTATAAGTGGAGATAAGGCCTGTAGGGAAGTAATCAGGATTAAATGAGGTCACAAAAGAGTGGGGACTTAATGCAATAGCTCTGGTGTCCTTGAAACATGAAAAAGAGACACCGGAAGTATGCGTGCTTGAAGAAAAAGACCACAGGTTCTGAGACTTCATAATTCTGAAATTTTGAACTGAAATAGATCATCATTTTAAGAGCTGGATACTCATTATATAATTACTGTATTATGCATCTTACTCTACAAATGCTATATCAAAACATTCAATGAACAGCTTAGGGAACGTATACTGCTACAGCTCTGAAAATATTAATGAAATCTGGCTGATTCTAAAAAAATTCTTTTAATTTCATTTTTAAAACTGTACTTGACCCATTAAAATATAGGCGTTATCACAAAAAGTAATGGGAAATTATAATTAGCTCTTCAAAATTACAAGAAGGAAGAAAGAGACACCAGAAAGCTCTCCCTCTCCCTCCCTGCAGGCACAGAGGAAAGGGCACTGGAGGGCACTGTGAGAAGGTCATCATCTACCCGCGAGCCAGGAAGAAACCAGCCCTGGACCAAAGCAAGCCCAGCTCATACACCTCGCTCCTTCTGCCCATGAACCAGAAGCCAGCCCTGCCTCCACCTTAACCTTGGATTTCCAGCACCCAGAGCTGTTGGAAAATAACTCTCTGAGTTTCAGCCGAGCGTGGTCTTTTCTTATGGCAGCCTGAGCAGACTAACACAGCTTCATGTTGGGGCTTAAAAATATGAATGTCCCAGGACTGGGAATTTAGCTCAGCAGGATAAGTGCCTGCCTGGCAAGAGTGAGGTCGTGAGTTTGATCTCTGGTACAAAAAGAATAAATAAGAATGTCCCCATTTGATCAGAAAAAGTCCATTTGCATCAGGAACACTGTAATGCCATGTATTAGTTTCCTAATTCTGCTATAACAAGTTATCACAAAGTTGGTGGATTAAAAGCTGCCTGCCAGATCAGCAGCAGCCTTAGATTCTCATAGGAGCACAGACCCTACTATGTGAGGGATCCAGGTTATGAGCTCCTTTGAATCATCCTGAAGCCACCACTGCCACCACACCATCACCACCAGTATCACCATCATCGCCTGTGGAAACATTGTCTTCCATGAAACCAGTGCCTGGTGTGAAAAGATTGAAATCTCTGCTCTAGAGAACCCTAACTAATATAGCCAGAACATCCAAACTGTAGCACCAACATCTATCTGTCAAGGGTCCACAGATGGCAGAAAGTTAAGAATGGAAACAGCCATGGGCAGAAAAAGCCAAGTGTATGAGATGGGCTTGCTTTGTAACAAATCATCTTCGTGAGCACTAGTCTAGTCCTATGAGAACTATATTAATCCCTTCCAAGGCCAAGGCCCTAGTGACGTATTCACCTTCCCCTAGCTCCATCCCTTAAAGACTCACCATCTCTCAGTATTGTTACACTGGGGCCGACTCTGGACCATCCCTCTGTAGGGAACACACCACAGCCATGGTGGAGCTAACATCTCTACCCTGCATGCCCTACTGACCCTGTCCTAGCATCTAGACCCTCAGATCCACAAATCACTAAGGGACTTCAAATTGCAAGGCATTTCATGAACTGATAGGGGGCTGTGCTGGGCACTAAGGATACCAGCATTCCTGAGACACAGCCCATGGCCATGGATGAGACCAATATTCATGGAATGGCAGACAAAGTGATGGAATAACGAAACAGCACCCTAATTAGTTAATAAATACTGGGAGAATGAAGAAACAAAAGACAGGGACCCACCAATTCCACGGGAAAGCTTGACTAATGATGCAGGAACTAATGATTACACCACCTAATTCATTCCTTCATCTACCCACACAGCAAATATTTGTCAAACACAGTGTACGTCAAGTGTTGCACTCAACAAGGAGATCCAAAGATAAAATGAGGCACTGCTTGTGTGCTCAGACAGTCCCCATCTAGGGAGATGAACAGTACAGTAAGAGACGAGAAAGAATGTGGCAAAAACTGCAGGAAATACACCTAAACTTGTGAATCTACAGGAAAGGGGGTGATCAGCCCTGTAGTATCTAAATTTCATGCATTCAGTCTGCTCCTAATTCAACAAATACTTATTTCTGGATCCCAACTATATACCAGGCTCATTGTTTATTCCTGGGGATAAAACAGTGAATCACTGCAAAATCTGAGCAGCACACAGAGGACAAGTCCCATTTACATGGTCCATGGGGAAGGGGACCTCCACAGGGACAGGAAGCGGATGAGCTGCTGACTAGGGCTGCGGAGGCTGAGAGGAAACAGGAAGTCACTGCTACTGCTCACGGGTGTGGGGGTTTGGAGGTTGGGATGGGAGGGATGGAAATACTCTAAAATTGATTGCCTTCATGATTGCCTTCACAACTCTGTAAATATATTTAACAGAGATTATACACTTTAAATAATGAATTGCATGCTATGGGAAATAGAAGTCCATAAAGCCGATTTTTTATAAAAATTATGATAGTAGAGAAATACAACTAAGCACTTCCAACAGTGAGCAATGAGGTCTGCGGTGGAGACAGCCATGGTTCTATGGGAGGCTCTCAGGGGCTTACAGAGATGTCTGTTGGGAGAAGGTTCTGGAAGGTTTCCCAGGAGCGGCACCAGCCCCACCTCAGCTGAAATGCATGTTATAGAGAAAGACTCATCAGGCAAGGAAACACAGATAGAAAGTTCCAGAACTCTAGAGAAGAGCAGAAGGAGGAGTGGAGAGGAAGAGGGAATGGGAAGGGGCACAGGTCATTTCTCCAAGGGCATCACAGTTTCCACCGGACGTGACTGCCTCTCCAGGGTCAAGGGAAGCCGGCTGAGGTTTAAGAGGATCAGATGCCTTCAGTATGTGTCACAAGCATGCGCTGGTCAGCAAAAGAAAATAAAATAAAATGTGGTTTCTGATGGAGCCTCTGAAGCACTGAGGAACAGAGAGTGGATTGAAAAGAGCAAGACTAGAACTACAGGGGGATGGAATAGGAAGCCCTGGCCTGACATCACGAAGTCAATCTTGCTGATGTCCCCCTTCCAAACTGCTCCCCACCATCCCAATCTTTATTCTGGTGAGCAGAATCTGCCTCACACTGTGCTGGCTGAAAATTCCAAAACTCTGTCCCAGCTACCTGTAGCTAAAACACAGAGAAGTAACCCAATCGTGGCCCTGAGACCGGACAGGAAAACTGCAGAGAAACTTTCAAGGAAGATTTTCTTCCTTCATCAAAAGTGATGCAGACAAGACATGCCTCTCTCCTTGGTGTGGGGGTGCCTGTAAGTGATGGCAGGAATTGTTGCAGCCTCCTGGGGACTCTGAGGGGTACCTCTGCTAGTACATCAAGCACTCTGAAGTAGAAAGTTTGAAAACACCTGACTCTTGACAACATGTTCAATGCACTGAAAGAATCTTGGACCAGCTCATGTGTTTCATACTCTCTAATATTTAAAAGAAGCAAATTAAAGCTGGGTATGGCAAGGAATTGTGACCTCAGCACTCAGGGAGGCTGAAGCAGGAAGACCACAAGGTTGAGTCCAGGCAGAGCAACTTAGAGACTTAGTAACCTAAAGAAGGGGGATGTAGCTCAGTGCTAAGGCCCTGGGCTCAATCCCGAGTACCACAAAAAAAAAAGAAGAAGAAGAAAAGAAACTCAGTGCTAGAGATGTAGCTCAGCAGTAGAGCATTTGCTTAGCAAGGGAAGACCTAGGTATGGTCCTCAGCCCTGAAAGAACAATAAAAGTAAATAAGCTCTTTGAGCTGAAGCCATTTTGGTTGGGTATTGTACAAACTGCAGCCAAAACCCTAAGGGATTTGATAAACAGTGGGGGGACGCTGACCATGGAGGCCGAACCGTGGGCATGCAGAAACACATTCAGGGCAAAGCACCAGGCCTGGTGATCGGCTGTTACTGGAGGCCAGGCAACCAGCTCACCAGCTCAGCAGGTGGACTGCCATGGCAGAGTCACAGAACACAGGAAAGGAGCAGATGTGGGCGATGTGGCGTTCCTCTGGGATTTGCGAGGAAAGGTGGGGGGAAAGGGCAGGAAGGCCAGGCTGGGCAGCCAAGCCAAGCAGGCCCAAGTATCTCCTCCCACCCTGCCAGGCCACAGTAAAGGAAGACAACCGAGAGCACTTCCACTCAGGAGCTGGCCCAAGATGAAGCCACTGGAATTGGCCTTCTCCTCTGAGTTCTCAGGATGAACACAGGCAAGAGGTGGCCTTGGTCATCGTCACCACCATTAAAGCATAGGTCACTTTCTATGCACCATCACGCTCAGTCTCTAAGGCAGCAGCCCCCAGCATTTTGGCACCAGGGACCAGTTTTCCAAAGACAGTTTTTCCAGGGACCGTGGTAGGGTGTGGTTTTAGAATGAATCAAAGGACCCCACAACCCAGATCAGAGCCCCAGAAGTGCTGGGAGTCACGGGGCAGCTAGAAACACAGATGAAGCCGCACTCCCTGCCTATGTGTGGCCAGGGCTTGGGACTCTGCTCGAAGGCACAGCAGCTGCACCACGTGACTGTTCCTAGCTCCACCGTAACCAGGTAACCAAGAGTAGCCTCACAATGCAGATCACCGCGGTAAGGAATTTCTTCCTCCTTCCCTTTAGCTTGAGATCCCAAGGCCTGGGAGGGGTACAGGTGAAAGGCAGGACTGAAAGTGGACAGAAGTAGCCCCACCAGCGGGGCCTGGTCCCACAGCCAGTCCCTGCGTCCTCTCCCAAAACCTGCACCTTAGTGAGAGCCCGGAGAAGGTAAATGCTTACTTCCCCAATATCCTTGGCATCTGGGGTAACCAAGGAGCCCAGTCTTGCTCAACACAACTTAAGCAAGTTAGCTTTTGCTTTTCTTATGAAAAGGAGAGACAAAGCTTTTCCTTCTCTCCACAGAGTCACATTGCCACGTGTGCAGCTTCAGAAACCATCCTGTGACCATGAGGAAAAAGGAAAAATGAGAACATGAAATAAGAAACTCTTAAATGATGCCATGGATCAGAGGCACCATAGTGGTGACTTTCTACCTACCGTCAGACTTTCTGTATGAGACGGACTCATCCTCTGTGTTTAAGGTACTGGTAAATGGTTACTTACAGTTACACATAGCCTAAGTTATCTAGATGTGGTACTTACAATGGTAGCAGGAGGTAACAGATCCACATACATGCAGCAGGCTGAAGGAGTCTCAAGTAGAGAAGACTCAGCTATTTTGAACTAAACAGTGAGTCTTGTAATGCCATGGAGACAAATGGAAAAGTGAGACACGCAGGTGAGTGTACACACACACACACACACACACACGGCATAGGCATGACCACACATAGATGGTGACAGTCTCACAAATGACAGTGGAGCTGAAGAAGTCCTGTGACCTGGTGCAGCACATCTGTCCTAAGAGCATTACTCACACATCTATGGTGTACGTGGCAGGGCACTTCTGCTGAATTAAAGTACAATCACACAGTACTTGAGAATAGCTATGCTAGTGGTTTATGTATTTACTGCACCATGTGTTTTGCCATTATTTTGGATTGTGCTCCTGGTGAATCACTTGAACAATGAAAGCTACAAAACACGGATGAAAGGAACGAAGGCAGACACGAAGACGTCCTGTTCACGGAATGAAAGAATGACTACTGTTGAAAAGTCTGCAATTTCCAGAGCAATCCACGTAATGCCAAACTCTCAACAGCATTTTGAAAGAAATAGAAAAAAAAACCCTAAGATTCATAAGGAACTGCAAAAGACTCTGAATAGCCAAAGCAATTTGGAGCAGGAAGAACAAAACAGAAAAATTCATATTTCCTGATTTCAATACATAACCAAAGTTTCAGTATTCAAAACAACACGATGCTAGCAAAAACAAATAAAACCAGACCTAATTAACAAATAGAAAGGAAGCAAAAGCCCGACACAGGTACCATCAACAGATCTTTGATCAGGATGCCAAAAACATACAATGTGAAAGGGCAGACTCTCCGTAAGTAATGCTGGAAGAATTGAATATTCATACAACCTGATGCCCTACACAATAATGTTCAGAACTACAACCTTCAGAAAGAGAATAGATCACAAGGGTTCTGACTTCATGGATTAAACCATTATAGACTCATAGTTTAATTGGGTTGGAGGCAGAATATCTGTTACACAAGTGAGCTTTCTCTCTGCTTCCTGGCTGCCATGAAGTGAGCCAATCTGGCCCACCACATGAGCCCTACTATGACGATCCGCCTCAGCGCAGGCCTAAAAGCAATGGAGCCATTGACCATGAACTGAACCCACAGAAACCCTAACCCAAAATGAACCCATTCTCCTTGAAGTTGATTTTTGGTGTTTTGTCACAGCAACAAAACATTTACAAAAACAATATGCAAAGGCATAAAACTATACTTTGTCTTATGTATATGAAAAACCAAATCAAAATTACATCGAACTAAAAAGTCTATGCACCAAATTGAATAATCAATAAAACGACAATGCAGAATAGAAGAAAATCTTTGCAAAACATGTATCTACTAAGGGGTTAACAGACAAATCTATAAAGAATGTGCACAACTCAACAGCCAAAGTAACACAAGTAACTGATTTAAAAGTGGACAAAGGACCTCAAAAGATGCTTCACTGAAGAAGACATACAATGGCCAGCAAGCACACAATAGGTATCCAACCTCACTAATCATCAACGAAATGCCAGCAGAAACCTATAGATAGATAGATCACCTTACACCTGTTAGGAAAGGGAACAAGTGTGGGTTTGTGTCTAGATGCTTCTCCAAAGCTTCACACAGTCGTAGGTGGGGCTTTTTCAGTACTATATTCCGAACGATACTATATTCAGTACAGCACTATATTTGGTACTATTCTGTATCTCATACTTGAACTTTTTCAGAGATGCCTGAGTCCGGAGTGTGTGATTGAGTCATGGTGCAATGCTAGGAATAAAGGCGAGTGATTACTAAATCAGTGCACTGATTGCTTTGGCCACCCTCTAATCCTGTTAGCATACAAGGGACAAAAAGAAGCCTGTCTTGCCCTTGCTGACTTGCTTTTGTTGTCTTCTGCTTGCCATAAACTGCTTCTCCTCTGCGATGCCACCCTGCCTTGGAGCCAGCGGACTGTGGACTGAAACCTCTACACACCGTGAGCCAAATACCTTTCCTCTTTTAACTTTGGATGTCAGGCACTTTGTCTCAGCAACAAGCATCTAAGACAAGTCTGTCATGGGGAACTTAGCCAGACTGCATGAAAATAAGAAAGGCTGGGGATGTAGCTCAGTGTGAAGGTCCTGGGTTTAATCATAAGTACGGACAGACGGATGGATGGAAGGAAGGAAGGAAGGAAGGAAGGAAGGAAGGAAGGAGGAAGGAAGGAAGGAAGAAGGGAGGGAGGAAAGGGAAAGGGAAAGGGAAAGGGAAAGGGAAGGGAGAAGAAAGGAAGGGGAGAGGGGAAGGCCAAACAGCCCTCTTTAGGAATCCATAGAGAGGAGGGGAGGGGAAGGAGAGAGGGGAAAGGGAAGGGAGAGCTCTGCATGACGACGGCAGGAGGGAGTCACGCAGCTGCAGACCAAGAAATGCCAGACTGCTACAGCTACCAGCAGCTCCTGGGAGGCAAGGAAGGATTTTCCAATATGGCTTCAGAGGGAGCACGGTCCAGCGGACAGGTTCATTTTGGACATGAAGCCTCCAAGCTACCTCCCTGAGTTCATAGGACTTCCCTTTTGGTGGCCCAGGAAGTGCACCTACATGGTTACACAGTACATACCTGGCAGTGGCTACACGGCTGCATTTCTCAAACTCAACCCAGTAGATACTAAATATCTGCATCTTCCTGTTTCCAAATTGGTAATGAACAAGAGTATAATAAACTGGGAAGCAGACGCCTAACCAGGATAACAGACTGGAGACCCCTACAGCGAACAGAGCCATCAGGGTCTGACCACCAGAGCCCAGTGTTTCACGTGTCCTTAAAGCAAATGCCCATAAGCTTGGGTTTAAGGACAGCAGGACCAGGAACCAGGAAGCAGCAAGAAATCACCAGACTTATACACAGTGTCTAAATAAGATCTTTCACTGCAGCACTCACACTGAAATTGTCCAGACATAACTAGAACAGCAGCCATGAACGGTGTCTCCTGGTAGCAAAGTGTGTAGGGAAAAGGGATACGCACTGTGCGTGAGGTGCCAGGCGGGCACAGGCTGGGCTGACCGAGCAGACATTCCTACACCTTCTCTGTATGGTCATTATCGCCAAGGCCACAAAACTAAACATTCACTTTTCCAGACTCATTTGCACTTAGATGTACCCACATGTTACAAGCCTGGTAAAGAAAAACATAAAAAACTTATATTCTCGAAGAGTCTCAGGAGGTGAACGTATTCTGCTCTGGTCTTTGATGCCTTGGGATGCTTGTGTGATGCCTGGAACCAAGGCAGTCATTCTGTGGCCATGAAGCAATAAAGTGAAGACCAATAGCCAATAACCCCTTATGGTAGGGAAAAGTCCCTGCCATACCTGGAAAGGGTATGGAGACTTTGCTTCATCTGCCATGACCTGTACAGCTCAGATTGCTTATTAAGTAAGTAACTCCCATTATGATTTAAGCCACTGTTCACTAAGATTCCTATTACTTGCTATCAACAACATTCTTACTTGATAAAATTGATAACTCCATTCCTCCTAAGAGTTCTACAAATAAGAGACAAGACGGAATGGGGAAGACCAGGGGGTCACACCTGAGCTGCAAATACACTGAGTTTTCCATTAAGGTGGTAAAAAGATTCAGATCTTTTCACTTAGATGTACCTACATGTTACAAGCCTGGTAAAGAAAGACATAAGAAATCTATATTCTCAAAGAGTCTCAGGAGGTTACTTGTTGGTAACCCCTAGTACGCACACACCAAAGATAAAATACTTAACGGTGAAAGAAGGTAAAGGAGACATAAGAATTGTTAACATTCATCAACCGCTTTCTGGGTTCTAAGCCATTAATGTACAACGCAGTATCATTTTAGGTAGACTTCTAGTGATGCACTCAAGAAATGATACCAGTGAGTACATTAAAATCAACCAAGCTGTAATAGAGAAATAGAGAAAAGGAAGCCAGGCTGAAAGTCAGGAACTCTCAGCACTCTCCTTTCAACCTCTCCATTCATACACCTACGCATTTGGAGAATCGCTTAATCACTCCAGGCTGGTTTTCCTTTCCCTAAAGAAGGATGTTGCAGAAACTCACCCAGTGGGTCCACTCGATATCTAACAGTCTGGTCAGGGTCAGGTAAGTCGGCTGGATTTTTAAGAATTTATGAAATGTACACGAAATATCACAGTCATGTCCGGGGAGCTACGGCAACTGATTACACTGAGCTCTGGGCAGAAATGACCAGGGAGGGTACAGAAGACAGGAATCTGCTAATAAAGATGCACACACTCTCCACAGGTCGACGCAGCAGCTGTGAACCCAGGGAAGGAATTACCGTCCAGGTAAAATGTGATGGGCTGCCACATTTACACCATCTATATTAACGGCTAGAAGGCATTTTTATTCTTTTTGAAGATTCCACGATTTTTTTTCCACAGCAAAATCTCCCTTCAAACTGATTTCTCTTCCAAAGTTAGCATTAAGTTTAGTTTACGTTTTAAACACATTTTTTTTCTTGCAAACAAAGAATAACTTGGATAATAAATTGCAAAGTGGACCCCGGATGAAATAATCACAAAGACAATCCACAAAGTCGATAATCTTCAGGGCAGAGAAGTAGTTGATTTTTTGTGAAGAACTGTGAATAATTAGAAAAAAAGTTATTCAAGCTGTAGAAAATTACATGGCTTCATATTTATGTTCAGCATCAATAGTAAAATTACATTTTGCTCCTGAACCTACAGCTCAAAGCTTTAAAATACAGATCTTTTAAAATGCACCAAGCAAAATTCCAAGGATTACAAGAAATGTTTTATTTATAATGTTTGCATGAAGCTAGGGCTGCACCCATCTGTCTTTTCCAATATATTTTCAAAACCGAATTTATAGACTACAGCTAGAAAAGCAAGAGTGCTCTAACTCCTTCCCAGGCTAATTCCATTACCGTCCTGTTATTTGTTATAAACTGTTGTACACTCAACCATTCTACCCTTCATTTGCCAGCTTCACAGTGGTGAGTTTCTTGTCCTTTTTTAATAAGGTCTTCAGCGACAGAGACAATGGTGTCTATTTTTTTGTCGTGCACCCCTTTATATTATGCATACTTCATTGTGGGTGGAGACAATTATTGAATAATAGGTCAAAACTCTTATTATACTGCGTCTCTTCTCATATGAATATGAGGGTTTAAACAAAGGGCAAAATAAAAGAGGAAACGGGAAAAATAAGGGTGGGAAAGGGACATAGAGATGGAGAATGAGAAAGGAGAGAAGGGGAAGGAGAGGTAAAGAGACCGAGATTGTACATGTGTATGGACCACTTTCCCATCTTTAGTGTATTGATTATGTATTGCAAAATATTAATTAAAAAAGGAGGAGAGGTATTAAGGAAGGAGACTGTGCCTCGTGTGCGCAGGTCCCCCTTTCTTCTGGTCTACACCATGGCTCTCCCTCCACCTCTTGGGCTACCACTGAATTCCATTCTCTCTTCTGCTAAGGCCTTAGTGACGACAGAACCAGGTAAGAGAATGTTTCATGTTCTCTCAGCAATCGTCATTTAGTCTTTGGCCACAAAGAGGCCCACTACAAGCCAGGAGGGGAACATGGGGACCTCTTGCAAAACAATCTTTAGAAAGATTTTAAGTGAAAATCCCAGTCTGGATGTCCAGTGGAAAGGTGGGCCAGGGGCTTGGCCCTGACCTCCCCCGGAGAAATGGAAATGCCCAGCACAAAGAAGAATTCCAGATTCTAAGTTCCAAGAGGGCTTCCTGAGTAACTCAGCAGAACTGTCATCTGGAATTGCTGTGTGCGTATCAGGACAAAAACAGCCAGAAAACCAGACACATGGAAGGAGACCATTCAGAAAAAGATAAATGCTATTCTACATATTTTACCATAGATCTGAGCTCACTGCATGACAGAAGAAGAAATACTGGAAGCCCGTATCTGTGGGAATTTTCAACAGGAATGATGAACAATGAGAATTTCACAGTCAAGATTAGAAATTGGTTGATTTAAACCTTCACCCTAAACCTCCAAAAGATAAACTGGTTTCCAATCGAATTCAAATTGAGATCCCAGGATTCAAGCTTTATCTACATCTCCTTTAGTTAGGTTAGACCTCCTCTAAATGATTGAAAGTCTCCTAAAATACATTCCTAAAATCCACAGCAACAGCTACAGAGATGGTAAAGGAACAAACTTAAAAATCAATGAAAGAAAAACATGTGAGAACCTGCATTGTTTAATCTACTATGTTGTCAGGAGAAGTTGTTGACCTGAAAAATGAGGTCCAAAACAAAACAAAAAAAAATGAGGTCCACAACCAGGCCTGAGAATCAAAGTATGAAAGGAGAAAGAAAAAGTTTTTGAGGCTCCCCAGGCAGCAGGAACCACTGCTGTAATTTTAGGTTCACAGTTACAGTGCACAGTGATCTTCATTTTATGTATGTATGATTATATTCATTTTCCATAAGCGTTAACTAAAGCCCAGAAATACTTAAAGTAAAACATGGAAGTGCGGGTCAAGCATTCCTTAGCCAGAATGCTTAGAACCAGAAATGTTTCAGGTTTCATATTTTTTCCAGGTATCAGAATTTTGCATATATATAATGAAATATCCTGGGGAAAGGACCCAATGTTAAGCATGAAATTCATTTCTATTTCATGTGTACTTTCTATGCATGGCCTCAAAGTAATTTTATACGATATTTTTAGTAATCTTGTACAAAAAAAGGTTTTTTCCGGTACTAAAATGAACCCAGAGATTGTACTGCACCGCAGTCCCAGCCCTCTTCATTTTTTGAGACAGGCTCACACAAAGCCACCAAGTTTCCTAGGCTGGGCTTGAACTTATGATTCTCCTGTCTCAGTGTGCCAGAGTGCAAGGATTACAGGAATCTGCCACCACACTGGCTATGTATGAAACAGCTTTATGGTATGAAATTTTCTACTTGTGGCTTTATGTTGGCACTCTCAAAGTTTGGATCATGGGGCATTTCAGATTTAGCATTTTTGGAAGAAGGATAGAAGACCAACAGTAGTAACATTTCCCATGAAGACACACAAGTCTTCAGAAGATACAGTATCTTTGATTCTTACAACCTTTCAAGGAACACATCTTTATCCTATTTTACAGGTAGCAAGCCTGAGGTCCCGAAATATCAAGAGGTTTGCCGGGAGGTTTGCAGTTATGAAATAGCACAGCAAGCACCAGGATGAGACGAGGAGACAGCCCAGCTATGTCTTTATCTTCCACACCTCCTTTGTATTCTTCCTTGACATTATCACAAACTGACTCATCAGCAAGAGGATAATCTACTAGGAAGCAGACGCGGGGAATTTGGCCTGATTGTCATGGGCTGGAGACAAGGAGTCTACGAAAAGCTTGAACCAGAGCCTGAGTTTTCAGTGCCTCTGTTTGGCCTTGCTGTTCATCTCTTACTTTTCAAAGCTCCCCAGTAAAACTGGAGTTAGGCTTGCTAAGATGGTCTTCATTAACCTGCACACAACGTCCATCTGGAGAGCAGTTCGGTACCCTCTAAGTCACACTAGGCTGTCTGTCCCTTTTTCCCAGCCACCACTGACAGAGAAACCTCTGAGGAAGAAGGTACCCATCTGGCAGGCATGCAGAGCCGGGGTGCTTCATATTTAACTGAAGTGTAGCAAAAGCAGACAAAGCAGTTACAAGAAAAGAAAACTACAATCACTATAGAGAACAAAGTTGCAAACATCTTTACCATGATATTAGCAAATGAAGCCAACAGTGTACAGAAATATATTTTAAAGATAACACACTGTGACTAAGTAGGGTTTATCCCAAATCAAGAAGCTGGTTTAAAATCTAAGAGTAAAGAAAATTCACTATAATATGATTTGGAATTATCTTTATTTCAAGACTTAAAGGTAATTCAGAAGTCATGTAACAGTGAATTACCTTTATTTTTAAATCTTTAAAATCTTCAATTTTAAGATAAAGTCTACCTAAGGCATGTTGTGTGCGAATGTTCACAGCACACATAGTATAGTTCACAATAGCTAAAAGATGGGAAGAGCCTATATATCCATCAACAAATGAATGGATTAATAAATGTGATACAGATGCACAATGCAGTAATATTCAGCCATAAAGGAGGATAAATTTGAGTCATTTTAGGAAACTGGATAGATCTTGAGACCACAATGCTAAATACAATAAAGTAGGTACCGAAGGCTAAATATCACATGGTTTCTCTGATATGAGAAACGTAACATACAAATAATTTAAAAAGCAAAATAAAGGAGAGATGGTAGAAAAAAGAAACTTTTTAAAGATGGAAAGCAAATCTAGAGAAGGAAGGAAAGGCAGGAGGAGGCCAAGATATGGGGGAAAGGGGATTAAAAGTGATAATATGTATACACACCAGTTCACCAAAATGAACATAATTGTAGCACAACATATGCTAATAAAAAACAAAAATAATTCATTTCAATAGAGATTGAAAACCCATCACCATTTCAACAGCTACAGAAAAAACACTTTAGAAAATTAAAAATCATTGATGATGAAAACTTCTCAGCAAATTAGGAATAGTAGGTAATTTCCTCAAGCTCACAAAATCTATCACTATGAAAAGTCTACAGCTAACGTCACATTTGATGTTGAAAGACTGCAGATTTTCCCACCTAGAGTTGAAAACTCTTACACTTCTGTTCAACACTGAACCATACATTTTACCCACTGTAATAAGGCAAAGGGGAAAAAGATCTTAAAAGAAATAAAATTGTTTCTTTTTACAGATGAATAACTGCTCATATAAGAATCCACAAAGTATCCACAAAACAATTTCTAGAATTAGTAAGTGAATTGAACAAGTTCACAAGATATCAAGTTTGTTTTTAAGCCTCCATTTTCTAATTTATATATAAAAGCAGAAAAAAATATGAAGTGAAAAACACCAACTCTATTTACAGCAGTACCAAAAAATAACTAAAGTAAAACCAAGTACATAGGAATAAAACTAAGCAAAATACATATAAGACCGCTAATTTGAAAGCTACAAATTAAGATTCTTTAGACCTTAAGAAAAACCTAAAACTGTACAAAAATATATATAATATATACCATATTTATGTGCATGTACACACATACTATGTTTATGGGTTAGAGTACTCAGTATTTTGAGAAGTTAATTCTTCCCAAATTGATCTATACATTTATTGCCATTCTTATCAACAACTCTTCAGGATTTTATGTACACATTAACAATCTGAAGTCTAAAATTTACATGAAAATTATAATTATCTTTAAAAAGCCAGAGAAATGTTCTTATAAAGAACATATTAGAGCTCTTCTTCTCCTTCATTCACAGACTTATTTTAAAGGCAGATCAAACTGAAATTCTTTGTCGATGCATAGAACAGAAGAAAGAGCCAAGAAATAGACCTGGCTATCTGTGGGCAACTGACATTTTACAAAGGTGCTCAGGTACTTCAGTGACGAAAAGTAAAACTGTGTTTGTTTTTAATAAATGGTGCTGGGACATTTAAATATCCACATGGGAAACACCAACTGTTACCTCATTTCATATGTAAGAACAAACTCAAGGTTGATCACAGACCTGAACATAAAAGCTAAAAACTATAAATATTAAAAAAAGAGAAATCCTTTAACTTTGGCACAAATATTTCTTAGACTGGTCACAACCAGCACAAATCACAATAAAAATAATAATATATGTATTATATCATAATAGAAAATATATACCTACCTAAAGCTGTATAAAAAAATCAAATATTTGCTTTTTGAGGGCCATTGTTGAAAACAGAAAAAAGAAATTACATACTTAGAGAAAATACTTGTAATGTGTTTGCAGACAAAGCTTTACATCTAGAAGGTATAAAGAACTCATCTAATTAAGTAATAAGGAAACAAATCAGTAAAATACTTGAACAGAAGGCTTCACAAATGAAGAAACACAAGTAGCTAGTAAGCACATAAAAACACACAATAGTCTTTAGGAAGAATGTAAATGAAATTGATTTTTTGATTAGACCCCCAGCAGAATGGCTAAAATCAGATGGTCATGTCAGCTTCGGTTATGAAACACAGAAATCTCACACACTGATGATGAGAACGTAAAATGGTATATGGAACACTGTTAGACAATTTCTCTAAAAACTAAATATCCACCTACCATACAATCCACCCATTCCATTCTTAGATGTGTTCGCAAGAGAAACAAAAACATATGTCTACCAATAGATGTGTAAAAAATGTTCAAAAGCATTTTACTTATAATTCATCACAAATTGGCCAAACCCCTCAAAATACCCTTAAAAGGGTGAATGGATAAATCAGCTGTGGAGTATTCGCAGAAAGCAATACTACCAGGAGGAAAAGGGAATGAACTACTAATACATAACTACATGAATGCGTCTCAAAAATGAGCTAAGAGAAAGAAACCAGGTACTAGAGTACATATTAAGTTATCCCACTTATGCAAAATACTACAAAGGGAAAACTAATCTGTAATGACAGAACACAAATCAGATGGGCAGGAAGACAGTCATAAAGGGACGGATTATAAGTGGCATGGGGAAGTTTTGAGCGTGATGGAAATCTCTGACACTGCCTTCATGGTAACAGTGTGATGGGTATGCTTGGGCAAACGCCACCACATTACACTGTATGTGTGTGTGTGCTGCTTAATGCACATAAGTGATACTTCAACATCTAGTCATCCCTTGGTATATCTCAGACACTGATTGGTCCAGGACACCCTACAGATACTAAAATCTGAGGATGCTTAAGTGTCTGGTGTAAAATTGGCATAGTATTTGCATATAACTTATCCATATCCTCCTATATACTTTAAATTATCACAGTTATTTATAATATCTAATACAATGGAAATGCTACATAAATAATTGTGATACTATATTGTTTCGGCAATAATGACAAGAAAAAGGCCACCCATATTCAGTACGGGTGGAACTTTTCTGCAGATAATTCCAGTATAGCTGGTTGAACCCATGGATGTGGAACCCACAGATACAGAGGTCTGACCGTATTTCTAATAGACTAAACCAGAGAAAATAGAATAAGTTTCAGGTGTAATAAACCCATCATGCAAGGCCCGAGTGAAGATTCCCAGAGAATACATTCCCTGCCCTCAGGTATCTGAACATTCTAGACGTCTGTAAGACTGGAAGTTCTCCATTATCTGTTTTTGGCCCAGGAAGGCCCAATGGGCAAAACTGGCTTGTTTTACCAGCCAGTTTTCCCTGCAGAAAATCAAAACCTGATGTGGGGGAGAAGGACACTGAGAGACAGAAACATGGAAGGAAAGAAAACAGCAATAAGACCTCCTCACACCCTGAAGGAGAGCCAGGGTTAGACTGGGAAAAAGCTCACAGTTGCTGTTATTAATTTCTGTCTAGGCCCAAAGGCCTCCGGGTCCTTCCTCACTCTTTAAGCCACACTTTATACCAAAATGAGACACCTGCTAACAATGCGGCCCTTGGAGGGAAAAAAGAGTCATTTCCCAGGACTCCGCAACCAAGGGACCCAGCCTACGAGGGATGACCCAAGAATATGGGGAATGTTTACAGCTTACATTGCTTATTACAATAAAAGACACTGCCAAAAATGATGGAATACGTGTCCTCCAAAGGCAGTAGGAGTATTCCATGGGAGATTAATGGCAGTGTGCCTTAAGTGGTAATACATATTCTTAATTTAATCACTCATCATAACTTTGACCACATCTCATTGATCACCATTTAGCACAATTTCTGTCAAATAAAAACATTTATTCATGTGACCTGAATAAAGAGGACACTTTACTCACCAGCTCTGGCACCATGCAACTTTTGGCTCTTCCCCAAAGTCAAAATGACCACGAAAGATAAATGCTTTGAATGGATTCAGAACATCAAGATGGGTATGAAAAGACCCTCAGGAAAGAGGACTTCCAGAATGGCTTCAGAAAGTGGCAAGAACAATGGGATTACGAGTGTGTCCGGGGCACAGAAAAAGTGTTTTGAGGAGGATTCATGGTAATGTGCCTTTCCCTGTAACACATTTTATTTTTTAGTTTAAGCATTCACTGTATTTTGAATCACACTTCATATTTGCTTTTTCTTCTCTGTGTCCCTGCTCTCTCTTTTGTAGATAGGCTGGTGTCCCTCACTGCCTTACCCAGTGCTGAGTGGCACAAGGAAAGGGTTCATTCTGGCTCAAGCTTGTTTCCTAAACGCTTTGCTCAATGGGCAAAGGCAGCAGCGCACTGGCTCAGTAGCTTGATGTGAGGACCGTAACCAACAATGATCTCACGGGTCTCGGTTTGAAAAGATAATAGGAAGATGTGTTTGCACTTAGCTTTTCCAAATCACATCCCACACATGTGATGGGAAAACATGTTAGCTGTTCAGAGACAGAATAAAGTCCTGCATCTCCTGGACATAAGGACATGACTCCTTGAAAAATGGTGTTATCAGACAGAAAGGTAGCATCAGGCACAGGATGAAAGACCCTTCCCAACAAACCAGATCAGACGCAAGCCAACAATGGCAGTCACCTTAGCTCTACAGTCCAGGGACATTCCGATGAACAAAGGACAAACGATACGTAACCACTGTGAAAGGTCCCTTATGTACAAGGTCTTACAGAGCAATGTCCAATGTAATCTCTGTGACTGCTCTTTGAAAAATGAGGCTGGGTGTGATCCCAGCCTACGCTTCTTAGCAATTCAGTGAGACTCTGTGCA